GTTGGAAAAGTGGGGGTCGTCTTGTACATGGGGGCGTCTTATTGACGGAAAAATATGGTACTCCTGAAGGGGAACCACCTTCAACAGAGAAAGAATTGTTTTCTCAAGCACTGTCATTCCTATAAAAAGTAGCAGAAAAAGCAGAAAAGCTACTGTTAGCAATAGCAATATTAATCTGTGCTCTTTAAACAGGCAACACTAAAATGGCGGTAACCCAGTGATGTCACTGGAGTGGGCAAAACTAAAATTGTTCCTCTCTGTTTTATTTCTAATTTTTGTGCGTGTGTGACTGTGTGTTCTTCCAGAAAATACAGGTGGTCCTCGGGTTACGACCCTCATTCAGCAACCATTCAAACTTACAACAGTGCTGAACAAAGACAACTTATGACTGGTCCACAGAATTCAGGCCATCACAACGTCTCCACTGTCACATGATCGCGATTTCCAGGGTTCCCTGCCAGCTTCCCACAAGCAAGGTCAATGGGGAAGTTGACAAGAATTTGGAAGTCACGGTCATGGGAGTTCCTCGCTTAATGACCCGGAACTGCCGTTGCTAAGTGACATGGTCACACGATGTCACATTTTACAACCGTGTCACTCAGCAATGGCAATTCTGGTCCCAATTGCCGTCACAACCTGAAGTCTACCTATAGTGCGTAATGCCTTCCATGTTAATTTGTTAATTCTTTAAAAGGTCAGAAAAGAGGGGAAAAGTCATTCCATCAAAAAAAAAAAATCACAATTTTGTCTCAAAAATTCAGCAATATAATTCCAGGGGAACTCTGTGACTTGCAAATTCTTGAGTATTTTGTAGACAGTTGTGATTTTCCCACGTCTACCCCAGCAATATACACTAATGTAAGATAAAATATATCATGTAAAAGATAACAAAACCATAGGAACATATGGAAGTTGCTTATGCTGTCTCAACTGCTTCATCTGACTCAGCATTTTCATTCTACTATAAGTAGCAGCAGTCGTTTTAAGCCATAGAAGGAAATGCCTCCTGAACCTGGAATCTTTTTCATGCAAAACATGATCCCCACCACTGAGCTGTAGTTCCTTCCTTTTAGCAGCTAATATTAAAGACTCCGGCCTTTCAAATATAAAAAGAAACTATGGTTTTGTTAGCATTAGCACAAGTTACGGCAAGCTTCTCCTCTGGTTCCTCATCCTTCATAACTGATGGATGAAATTTAGGCACTTCTGATTGCACTTGGCAAGAAACCCCAATCTGTCAACAACATGAACTGTAGTTTGATTAAATATCTTCTCAGTCAAGATCTGAAACTATGGTTGGTTAGGTATAACCTGGTACACGTTTCCTCAAAAAAGCTTTTTATTATATGTATGTTTCAACAATTTTATTCCATAAAATTATGTACAAACCTCCCCTACCCCCCCCCCTTTTGATACCTTTATAGTTTCGCTAGGAACGCCAGGCTCTGGAACTTTATTCAAGTAAGTGGTCAAGTCTTGATCAACATGTTCAAACACCAGTGTTAATTTCGTCTCTCGTTCAGTTCGGGACACTGTGCAAACATCAAATAACCTAAGAAGGATAAAAAAGAAAAATGCTAAGTAAAAGGGGTGGAAACCATTAGAAGAGCAATGCAAATGTATCTCTTTACTAAGGATGAAATGTGAAAAGCAAAAAGTATTGAATTCATTCCATTCCAGAACAAAATACATTTTTCAATAGTGACAAGGGATCAAGATGGCCAAAATTCTAAACCCGAAAGACATGTTCCATACAATAAAGCTGAACTTTTTCTTTACAGCATTATACCACTTGGGTATCTTCTACAGAACTGCACAACTAATCATTTATATATTCATTGGAGGGTTTTTTGGTTGCATTTTGTTGAATTTCATTTCATCGACAAGGGTGTCAGTGGTGTCTGCAGAGCAGTCGGGGATACAGTATGGATTAGTACTTGTGATAAGGCAGTTCAGTATGCATTTCTTCTTTTGTGTTCTGTAAAAATAAAGTGCAAGTTTATTAAGTAGGCTATAAATACACATGAGCTCCAAAACGTTTGCCAAGTTCCTTATCCATCTAATTTTAAATTATTTTTTAAAATCATTTTGTGCTGGAAAGCAAAATATTTTAGGGAAAATCAGAATTGTTGGTTGTGATAGTCCAACACTTTGTTTGGAAGTGCACCCACCTGCAAAGTTAAGCTGTCACAACAACCATAATTCATAATATTAATTTAATACATTATTTACTGTTTATAATCTTTTTTTAATGACTTGAACCCTGTTAACCAAGCATTTGTACCTTAAAGCACAATAGGGACACACTGATTTTGATCAGAAAATGGATATCTCACAATATTATAAGCTTCTAGTGATGTATTAGAAGGTAGTTATAAGATATTTCAGATTTGTTGCTTTTCTGCCCATATTCCTCCCTCTATGTGAACCTAACTTTTCTATCTGTACCATCCATTTTTATACTCTCTCAAAACATCATAAGAAAATAGCAAACTACAGCAACCTGTTTATATTTTCAAAAACGAAAAAACTTTGACTGCCATGTTCACCATGAAAGCCACATTGCGAAAAGGCAAGCCCTGCACCACAACCATTTTGAGCGTCAAAAGATGTGTTCATGTTAGCAATGAAGTCTTCATTTTTTTTGAACTATGGTCTGATTATATTATTCTCTCTTCAGTATGTAGTGCAGGCCATTTATAGAGTAAAATAGTAACTCAACTAAACTTCATCATGCATAGAGCTATTTGCATATTCAAAGAAGGGGCGGGATTATCTCCATCACTAAACCACTCAGGAAGCAGCAGAAAATATGGGAGAATAAGCAGTGAGTTACTTTCTCAGCATCATCTGTCCTAGACATACACTCTTTCCAGGCTCTACTTCCAATTGTCTCCACCAACTACAGTCTCTCTCTTGAAGATATCATCTGCTTCTTGTAAGTAAGTTGCTCACATTATAGTACCACACAGGTACTAATACTAGATAATGTAGTCAAGAAAATACTTTGCCTTTGTCTAGAATTTTTTTTTTATCTCCAGATATCAAAGAGATTCACAAATTGGATAAGAATTAATATCCCAAGAAACAAAGAGTTGAATCAAGCTGTAACTTTAATTAACCCTCTCATAATCTTGGTTTTACTTATATGATTATTTAATTGTTTTAATAGGTTTTTATATTCAATTTTAATGGTTGGTTTCCTTGTACACCACCCAGAGTCACCTTGTGTGAGATGGGCAGCCATATAAATTTGATAAAGTAAAATAAAAAAAAAAATAAATAAACTAAATGCACAGTATATAGTCTAGTTGATACTATAGTACAGTTGATACTGATCTGCCATTTCAAAGATTACTTGAGCTATGTACAGAAGTTCCAATCAAGAGTGATGTGAAAGGAACTCACTATAGTTTACCAAATTCAGCCACAAGTGAAAGAGAACTGAAATATGATTTAAGAAGCATTTCTTGTATCACAGGAAAGAAATAAAGAGAAATGTTAACTTTCAATAAACAACACAGTATTACTTTGAACAGATGCTGTAACCTAGTAAGTATTTCCTACCAAAACATGACAAAAGGGCTAGTAATGATTAATTCTATTCTAATCTAATGAACAAAAATAGCATACCCCCATACATTTTATAAAGTATATATTCAGAAAAAAGAAGCTGTGGCAAACAATAAGTTATATTGACTTGTCAGGCTGGATGTTAGAGTAGCTGGACTATCTGTCCCTTTAATGAAAAAGGAAGCTTTTGGATACAGTATTCTGTTAGAGGAGGAGAATCATGGAAAGGGAAAAAAATCTATGACTTATATGTTCCATTATTAAACTGTAAATTAGCCACTAGATCATCAGTGTGTGGATTGCTCTGCTCATATAAGGCCTGGATTATGAATTATCTGACCCTAGAAACTAGGGTAGTAAAAGTAGAACTGTTTCCACAGATCAGATAAAGGAATAGTGCAGATTCTGCTGCAATTAAGCTTGTGTGTGTGTGCGTGTGCATTTTAATTCTCCAATACACTAAATATCAAAGTAGAACTGTTTCCACAGATCAGATAAAGGAATAGTGCAGATTCTGCTGCAATTAAGCTTGTGTGTGTGTGCGTGTGCATTTTAATTCTCCAATACACTAAATATCAAAGTAGAACTGTTTCCACAGATCAGATAAAGGAATAGTGCAGATTCTGCTGCAATTAAGCTTGTGTGTGTGTGCGTGTGCATTTTAATTCTCCAATACACTAAATATCCCTTAGAAACAGAGCAGTGATGGCCATTTTAATGCAAAGATGAATTCTACCAACTGAGAGATTAACAATTATGCCATTTGATATTATCTAATCCTACATCTTTATTTGTACAATTTAATTTCCATGGAACATTAACAGTTTGAAACAATTATTTTCTGTCTCCACATCTAAATTGCACTTCTGAACACTTTGCAATCTTTCAAGCAGCGGAAGCTTCCTACAGGCCAAAGGATAGAGATCCAACTTTCTGTTCACTGTAAAAATAGTGCCATTCAATGTTCTTATATATCCTTTTTCTTTATATAAATATATATATATATGTTCCCTTTCCTTCCCTCATCCTATTTTTGCCCTTCTCTCTGCACTTTTTTTCTTTTATATTTTTCTTAATTTGTATTAGTCTTTTTACCTTTGTATTTTTAAACCTCAATAATATTATTAAAAATTTAAAAAAAATTATTGAGAAGGAATTTAAAGTTGCACTGCCTCTGCACAGCCAGACCACTTTACGTTAAAGTCTCTAGTTAAGGTTAAATACCCTGACACCTTAAAGGGGTTTAATCATTTGCAATGTATTTATACAGATCATCTACCTCAGGACACACAAACAACAGAGGAGATAGGAAGATCTGAAATCTCAACATAAACATTGGAAAATATTTCTAGCTGAATGTGTCTGTTCAACAACATTTACTTAATTTTTAAACACCTTTTTTGCCAAGTATTAATACAACTGGCAAAGGTACTCTTTTGGCTAATGCGAGGTTTTTAAAAAGATTCCACTGTGCAGGACATAAACACTGTCAACGTTCTGCATGCCTCTTAAAGAGCAATAATAAGCTTATAACTGCTAGGTCTTTTTAACTGAAAGGGTTTTAGTTTATAACTGTATATTACTATTTGGTTTGGGGGGTTTTCTTCGAAGTAGGGATTGTGTTCTTGAATTTCTTAAATGTTATCACACAGTTTTAATGGTATGTGTTAATAAGTAAGGTTAGTCATGATTATGACTTCTAGTAGAAAAGACAATACATCTCAGAACACTGACTTTTGAAAAATATGATTGGTATTCTGTTGGTGGACTTCTTAGGGGCACCTAATTGGGCAATAGTTTCATACAGACATTGAGAAGTAGGAGCACCAAAGAACCCCATAATATTATTGCCTCAGGTACAGCAATAATCTCTATAGTACCTTCTGGAAACGGTCATCCAGATACAAGAGAAATCACTGCCATCCAATTAAGCCTATCTAGAAGGTGCTATGATCAGTGGGACTGAAAACTGCTGACATCCAGGAAACATAAAGGATTTCACCTCATTTGCCCCTTTCCAAGCATGAGATTGTACTTCAGGTCATCTCACAGACCGACTGAGGCAATTTACGTTCCAAAATCAGGACTGAATTTGGATCTTTCCTTTTTTATTTAAGGTCACAAAGTAAATGCACGTAAGAACACAGTAGTATGAATCAGGAGTTTAATGTGTAAAAATTATACATTTTCAAGTCATCAGACATGTTCTGGCAATATTTATCTGCAGAAGATTTACATATCATCAACTTAAACAACTCTAATGGCATTCAATAAAAAAAAGTAAATGTCCATAATAATACAGTGATAAGAGAAAATATGAAACTAATTGCTGTTTGATTACAATCCAAACACTTCCTGGAAGAGAACCATCTTTGCTAGTTTCCTAAAAGCTAATAGGGTGGGGGCTGACCCGCCCTCAGGGGGTATATTGTTCCATGGAGAAGGGGTTACAGCTGAGGTTCTTATGAACTTGGAATTTTAAAAAGCATGGACCAAATTATGTATGTACATATTCATGTAATATGCACACAAGTAAGCACTTTCAGTAGTGACTATTCGTAAGACAGGAAAACTAAAAGCAGTAAGTGTGAATTGGGAGTATATGATTGTAATGTAATTCATAATCCTGAAGCGTCCTTCTCTCCAGGGCACAGGAATGCATAGCGGCAGAATTTTATCCGTAACTTTTCCTAATGAAAGAGATCCAAGAGACCCTCAAGTAGGGTACCAGACATTTCCATAACCAAATCAAAAATCAGTTTTAATAAGATTTAAGGTACAATTCTATGGACACTTCCTTGGAAATATATCTCCCCTATCAATGCTGGTCAACCTCTTCATCTAATAGAATTCAATAGAATAAATCCATTTCAATCCAGATAATATTGGCTTGATGAAATATGTACTCTCAGGATCTGATTAAGTTCTTTATCAGCAGAATGGAAAGACTGGGAAATTCGATTATATGTAGTCAGCTTT